GTGTCCACCTCCGTGAGGGGGAGGGACGTTGAGCGCACTACAGGCACGGACGCCCCTCCCCTCCCCTCCCCCTACCAAGAGAGCCAGAGAGAGAGAGAGCAAGGGATACAGGAAATCTGTGTGTGAACTGCGAACGAGCTCTTGGCTTTATTTTTCTTTGATTTGGTTGTTGTTATTTTTGCTCTTGTTCCGGTTTTGCCGCACTTTTCGCCGTTGCCATGCGGCCCGCCACGTGCGCCGCGGACAGCCGCACACACGCGCAGTCCCCTGCGTGCGGTTGTGGTGGTCGCGGCGTGCGCTACGACGCTGGGCTAAGGCTCCAATCCTTCCGAGGGCGTGGGCGCATGCCCCACTCTTGTCACTTTACTTTTTCTTTGTACTGTTTTTTTTTTCCTTTTTTATTTGCCTTTTCCGTTTTTGTTTTGTTTTTTTGCACCCCCGTTGGACAACTTCGTTGCTCCTCACCGGGCACCTACAAGGCTCGGGGCTTTACCCCTATTCGTGTTGGCGTGCGCTGCCTCCGCGCCGCTTCACTTCCCCTCCCCCGCTTCTCTCTTTCTCTCTTTCTTTTCTTTGTTTTTCTTTCTCGCGCGCGCGCGATGGGTGTGTTTTGCCCCGAGCTCAAGGCGGAGTCGGAGTCACGTGCCTGCAGTTGACGCGGCTTCTCCGAGGGCAGCTGCGGCCGGGGGGCGGTGTGGTGAGCCCGGAGGCGCTCCACGATGCGCTGCGGCGTTTGTTTCCCCCCGCCGCTGGGGAAGTGAGGCGTCGCACGTGCGCTGCAGCGGCGCCACGGACACGCACGGCGCCGAACTGGGAAGGCGCCGACTCCCCCTACCGCGTCTCTGAGAACTGGCGGGAGGCGATGCTCCTGGTGGAGCTATCGAGGAGCTCTTTGGCGTCTGCCGCGGCGGGAGAGGCGGCGTTGCCCTCTCCCGCGCCAAACGTGGCGGCCCGCCCAACAGCGGAGGAGGACGCCACCTCGTACCTCCTGCGGCACTGCCGATTTCCAGTGGAGTGCTGGTGGATGTCTTTGACGCTGCTGCAGCGGTGGCGACGGCGACACGCCGCGCAGCTGCCGTTGGGGTCGCGCGAGAAGAACCTGCCGCTTTTCCCCGCGGATTTGTCGCCGGCGTCGTGTGCGCATTTGATGCGTCATCTGTCGTACTCGACCGCGGCCTGGGCGGATGTTATTCGCCTCTACGAAATGGCGACCCGCGAGGTCGCGGGCCCCAAAGCGACGCCTCGGCGGCGGGGGGCGCCTGACGGCGAGGGAGGCGAGCAAAGGGCTGCCGGTCGCGGCCCGCTGCGGTGGATGCGGCACACGGCGCTGACCTCCCTCTTGCAGGCGGGTCGGTGGAGGGACGCCCTGCACTTCTATCGCCACATGCTGTATCGGCGCGAAACACCAAGCCACGTGGCCACCGGGCACCTCGTGCAGCGGCTGGGGGAAGTGGGCTGCTGGGAGGCGGTGGTTCGCATCTTTGAAATTCATCTCAAACTCGTCGCTGCGACCCACACTTCGACCGCCGCGGGGCTGAGCAAACGTGAGCTCGAAAGCTCCTCCAACCGCGCGGGAGCACCGGAGCGAGCATCAGCGCGGGCGAGTGAGTGGGGGACGATGTTCTCCATGTCCCTGGATGTGGTGAGTCGCGTTTGCCAACGGCCTCTTATTGCGATGCAGATGTTTAACGCGGCCTGTGATAAAAATATTGATGGGTCCCTCTTCCGCTGGGACGGCAACTTTCTCTCGGCGGTCCAGTCTTTTCCCTCGGAGCGGGATCGCGTGGAGGTGCTTCGACGGGCCAAAGTGGCCGGACAGTTTGACCACTTTAAGCTCGTCCGCGGCCTTGTGCACCGTGGGAACTGGCTGGAGGCGATGATGGTCTTTGCGGAGGGGCTCGCCGGCCAGCAACTCCGTCGGAGGGACATTGGCCGGTCCCGGCTGAGCATCTTGCATGCCAGCAGTGGCGATAACGTGCAGGCGGTGCTTCGGCGCCTGCAAAGCCTCGCTGGGCGTCCGGCGAGCTCCCTGCGGGTTAACGATGCGGAGGTGGAATGTGTGCTCTCCAAGGTGCCCTCCACGCAGCCGCCCGGCAGTCGTGTGTCACCCGCCTCCCCTATGGCGCATTGGTGTTTTTGTCTGCAGATGCTCTCCGACAACTACGCGTCGCTCGCCACGAATGGGGGGCGTGGTGTGACGTCTGGGGAGGAGGGGCGCCAACCCACAAAGCACATGATGTCGCTGCTGCTGCGCAGCCCTATGCCCTGGCGAGTGGCGCTGCGCATCTTCGAACGGTCCCGCCTGCTGGACGCGAGTGCGACGCACGACGACGCGGCTGCCGCCTCTTCCACCTCGAGCGGTGCGCTCATGGCCAACCGCGTCGCCCACCTCCTCCACCGGCAGGGGCAGCAGCAGCGAATGAGAGAGTTTCTGGCGTCCGTCTTGCGTGCACGTCCCTTGTCGCCCTCGTCGGAGTTGCTGGAGTTTGCCCCGCTTGACTTCTTCTCGCCCAACGCCGGAGCACCGGGGAGAAGCGCGCTGCTAGTGGAGGACAAGGTGCTCTACCACTTTATAGACGCAACGATGGACTGGGAGCGGGCCCTTCGCCTGCTGCACCTCGTCGAGGAGCAACGCGCCGCGACGGCCGCCGAGGCGGGGAACCCGCTTCGGCGCCTTCCCGCCTCGGTCCACTGCGGCGCCCTCAAAATGCTTCGCCGCTGCAGCGCCTCACACGGCGAGCAGTGGCTGCTCTCCCTGCGATACTTTCAACACGTGGCTTCGGAGCTTCACCTGCTGGATTGCGGCACACCGCCCCCTCCGATTCCACAGCAACACGGGGGTGCAGAAGTGAACACGACCCTTTACTGCGTCCTCTATGAGACACTGCTGAATTTGCTCGACGAACCGGCTGCAGCGTGCGGCGGGGTGAGAGCACAGATGTGCTGTCGTCTCGTGGAGCGCGTGATGACGCGGTGCGGGGGGCGCATCCCCGCACACATGCTGCTTCCGAATCAGATGGATCGTCTGCTGCCCCGCCTAAGCGTTGGGGGCCTTAGTGTGCCGAACGTTGAGGAACGCGCCTGGGTGAGCATGAAACTTGTACGCTGCGTCCTCGACGCCCTGCAGGGATCCGCGGGACCGGAGGTCGGCAGGCGTAGCAAGCTGGCTCCTCCCGAGGCCGTCATGCTTCACGAGCTGCAGAAGCTGGTGTGCCGCGTGGCAGAATACCAACAACATTTGGGGCAGTTTCATGAAAAGGAGCGGCTGCGGTCGAGCTCGGCGGCACCCACAGAGAGGAGGCCACGACCAACGCCTTTTCGGATGGTCCCCCTCTGGCAGACGTCGCTCGAGCTGCTGGGGCATCAGTGTCGCGCGTGTGGCACAGGCACAATGAGGCCTGGGACTCTGAAGCTTGTCTATCGCTCGTGCGCCACGTCGGGCGGGCAGTGGGAGGCGGCGCTTCGCGCCACCCTGTACCTTCTGCAGCACCAGAGGGCGGCGGAGGGGGCGGTCGTGGGCGAGCACTGCTCCATGTATTGCTCCCTCTTCGGCTGGGAGAAGGCGTTGGCGGTTTGGTGCCGTCACTTCCCGCAGGAGACGCTGCGCGCGGTATCAGGCCACGCAAAGGGACTGGAGTACTTCATGCAATCAATGGAGTCTGCGGAGGGGCAACGACAATGATAAGGTTGAATATATATATATATATATATATGGAACGATGCAGCATGGAGAAGGAATTGCGGAGAGGCATCTGAAGTCAGTCGGAGAGGGGCCGAAGAGCATACTTCATCCACGAAGGAGATTCCTCTCTCTTATTTGTGTTTTTTATTTTATTTTTTCCTTTTTTTTCTCTCACTCCTCCCATTCACGTGCACCACGCCTTGGCGTTTGTTGCCCGCTTCTAAGGGCGGGGGGAGGCTTCGTGCAGTTTCCCCTTTGAACGCGAGGGTTGGCGATGAAAGGAATGGGGTGGCTGGCGCAGCACCACTTTGCCTCTCCCACAGATGTCACACGGCTTACTTCCGAATGTCTTCTTTTTTTTTTCCTTTTTCTTCCATGGCTTCGCATCCGCCCCTTCCTGCTGCGTCGTTCCCTTCTCCCCTGCGTTCGCGTAGCTGGAAGAAGTCATCCACACCTGCAAGGCTGCGGGCAGCAGTGATAGATACAGCCTCTCTGTGCCTGCCGCCTGCGTCCACGCGAAGGCATCAGCAGTCTTTGTTTTATTTTTTTTATATATAATTTTTTTATCCTTCGTTGCTGGGGGAGGCACGCCAAGAAAACACGACCGGATGTCCCTTCACATAGTTTGGCCTTTAGTTGCGGCGCTTGCAAGTTCTTCTGCATGGACGAGCTACGCGTCCCCCTCGCCGACGTTAGACGTGGAGTCGACGCTCAGCCGTGAAGAAACCTCTGCGTCTTCTGCGTTTCGGACCGTCTCGGGCATCTCGGAGTCCCTTCTCCCCCCCACGCCGTCCGAAACGGGCACCGTCACCCTATCCTATGAGCAGACTGCTCAAGTCGACCCCTGTACTGGGGGGCATTGTAGTAATTCCACGGCAGTAGTCGCCGGCGTTTGCAGCGGCATCGCCGTCGCCTTCTTGCTTTTGTTGTCCACGCTCATTGTGATCTACTGCCGCCGCAAAAAGAGAGGTGCCCGCCTCGCCGCGGAGAGCAACTCGCATGAAGGCAGAACCCGCAGAGTGGGGAATGAGTTCAACCCCTTACATGGCGAGAATAAGGAGGTTGCAATTAGGACGAGCACGGCATCCAACTGCGAATCTTCCACGCCCAGGGTGGGGGGGTGGAGTGTGACGGAGGAAGAAGCCGTGCGTCGCGAAAGGGAGCTGCAGAAGCAAGCCCTGCAACGCGAAAGAGAGCTGCAGAAGCAAGCCCTGCAACGCGAAAGGGAGCAGGCGGAGCAGGCGTGGCGGCGAAAAAAGGAGTTGGAGGCCCGCCAAAGCATCAACATGCATCAAAGACGCAACCTCGCCCCGGATGCGGCCCTTCGCTTACACGCTCTGCGGCACAGGGAAACTGCGGATGCAGTGTTTGGTCCTTTTCTGGACTCCGACTGCGATTGAGCGTCTGCGGATGACACGACATCGATGAACCTAGGTAATAATAGCACTGATAATAATTGTAGCACTGGTAGTGCGCGGCGCAAGGCGCAACTTGGCATCGCCAGGGCTAAGCCATACGGGAAGGTTTTAATCACATCACTTTCTCATTTTGGCTTGCCGGGGGCGGTGCGATGCCGCCAGCCTGAGAGGCCAGCTAGCCGACTGGCGACGCTCTTGTACCACCTGTAGCAGATACAGGCGGGACGGGGCCGCGATGCGGCATGATGGCTGTTTATATAGAAGCATTCCCTTCTATCTACTGTATTGTAAGTGTGTGGTTTCGTATTTGGCCCCATTGCTTGCGGGGGCGTGTGTGGGTCGACGCATCACGGGCTCGTTGATGTGGTCTTTGTTAGCGTATTTTGTGGCGGGGGTTCTTTTTTTTTTTTCTTAATGTGCACCACTGACTCTCCGAAACGGGTTTCTTTCTTTATGTATCTCCTATGCGTTTATTTCGAACTGTAGTTTTTCTGCCGTAGTATTGGCCTTATTATTGTTATTGTTATTGTTTTTCCGCCTTATATTCGGTTGAGTTCTTTTTTTTTGTTTTTGCTTTTGCTGTGTGTGTGTGTTGCTCCGCTGTGTTATACTTTTGTTCGTGTCATGTTATTTCCCCCCCCCCTCTCTTGTCGGTCCGTGTGTGTGTGTTTGTTTTGTCTCCATCGCCACGTGGCAGCGGGCCATGCGTTTTGGGGCGTCGTCGTCGCCGTCAGCCGCGCCGCTTACGCGGCTATCAACCCGGCGCTGCTATTTTTTTGCGTGTGGCCCCTCCTTAACTCCCCCTCCCGCGCGCGCCGGTGCTCCAGCCCTCCCTTTTCGCCTCTTCCTCCCTCGCCCTCTGCCGCCGCGGACGCAGCGGCGGTGGGCACTGAGGCGGCGAAACGTGACGGGGGAAAGTGAGAGTCGCTGTGCGCTGGGTCTTCTCCCCGCCCGCTGTTGGGCAATGCGGCTGGCGAGGGGGTCGCGGGCGCAGGGGCGCGATGTCTACCTGCTTCGCCGCAGACTTCCTCTTCCCCCTTTCCTTCTCCGCCGCGCGGAAAAGCTCACACGGCCTGCTGCCGCAAGCCTCTCACTCTTTGCCGCGGCTGGCGTCGCCGTGGCGGACGTCCCCGCTGCATCCGCCGCCCGCAATTTGACGGCTCGTTGTACGCCCTTTTTGCCGCCCAAGGCGCTTCGGCCTTCGTACGGCCCTCGCAGAGCAACAACGGCGGGCCCCGTGGCTACTCGCTGCGGTGACGCGTGTCGCATCCATGCAGGTGCCGGCGCTTGGCATCGTTCAAGTCAGCGGCTGCGACGTGCGTGGACGTGCGTGCCGCCACGTGGACACGCAGCAGGAACACCCCTGACGCGGCACAACGCGCCGAGCTCACGCAGAGAACTTTTGGCGTCATCTTGAGCCATGCGACGCGGTTGCGGCGGAAGCAGGAGTTGTTGTTGTGCGGTGGGGCTGGTGAACCAACGGGAGACGCGTGTGGTGCGGAATGCTGCGTTGCTTCCCCGCTCCGCCGGTGCGCCTCGTGGGGGCAGGTGCTACCCGCAGGTCTGGCGAAACGGGTGGGCGTCGTGCATATGTCCCGGCTCCTCGCAGCGGTAGCCAACTTGGTATTCAAAGGGCTGCCGCAGGTCATCTCCGGTCACGTTCGTATCGTGGCGGGGGCGAGCGAGCAACAAGACGCGCAGGCGGGTGATTGCGGATGTAGCGACCACGCATTTCCGTCCCCTGCAAGACGCCATTGTGCGGCACAGTGCGAACGTGCGGGAGTGGGGACTGCGGATGCCGCGATGGACTGAGGCCGCAGCGGAGCAGTGGCGGAATATGGATGGGCCTGTTGTGCTCCCGCAAGCCGCAGTGCGTGGCGAGGGGGTGGCCCGGAAAGCGTGGTTCCAGGGCGAGTCGTAGCCGCACGAATGTTTTGCTCAGGGTCCAGGCGTGTGCTTTTTTTCTCTTTTTCATGGGTCGAATTCCTGCGACGGTGTAGTGTTACGCATCGCGCGTGGGTGGTGCTCCAGCGGCGGCAGCGGCTGCCACTTCATGTGCTCTTGACGCACCATCGTTTGAGCTCTTTTTTTTTTCTTCTCGCGGCGGCGTGGGGATGGAAAAATGACGGCACCGGGGGCTTTATGCCGAGCCCTTCTGACTGTGGCGGGTTTTGCTCATGTTGTCCTCCTCTCTTTTTTGTTTTTTGTTTTTTGTCTTGCGTGCCTGGGTGTGGCCCGTGTGTGTGTGTGTGGTTGGGGGGGGGGTGTCGCGTGCGGTCGGATGCTTTTTTTTGCCTGCGTTGCTGCAGGCCGCGTTTGTTTGTGTGTTTTGTGTGCGGCAACGGGGGGTGCCGCCCTCCGCGCACCTCGCCGGTCACCGCCTCTCACTTTGTTTCTTCGCTTCTCCTCTCGGCTCCCGCCTCGAGTGCCCAAAAACGCAGTCCGTGGCGTGGAATGTCAGGGGTCAGCCGGGGCACCCGCTGCGACGACCCGCTCGCGTGTCACGAGGAAGACTACGCCAGCGAGCTCTACTTTGACGCCGTGGCGGGGCACGCCTCGCCAATGAGCCACTCCCCCGAACGGCACTGCAACGGCGCGACGGGCCCGAATGCGGGTGGAGGCTTAAAGTTCCCCGCGGGGGGCAGCGGCGGAGGAGCGGGCGTCGGCGCCGTCACCCAATTCACTGCGAATCACGGCCTGCAGCAGCGGCAGGGTGCGAGGCGTCAGTCCCCACTTTTCTCTTCTCCCAACTTGTGCGATGCGTGGTGTGAGGGGCAGTCTCTCAACGGGGTGTACCCCACCTTTTCAAGCCCTCCTTCCAGCGAGAGCAACGCCTCCTCCCCCTCCGCCTGCCCGGGCGATGACGCCGATGAGTTTGACCAACTCATGGGCCTCCTTTCAGGCGCTGTGTCGAGCCCAGTAAGGAACGGCCCCGCGCCTGTCACCGTGGGTGCGCAGTCCAGCACGAGGCCTGGGGGTTGCTTTGCAGGCAAGGCGACTAGTCCCGCAAAGACTGGCGGTACCGACTTCAAGGGTGCCGGGCAACGGAGCGAGGCCGGCACCGCAGGCACTCGGAACAACCAGCCTCCTCTTCTCTCGCGCTATAGGTTTCCGGAGAAGGAGCAAAGTGGGGTGGCGAAACAGGACACCGTAAATACGTCAGAGGTGTCTGACAGGCGACAGTCGTCGCCGAAAGCCATTTCATTGGCCCAAGTGAAGAACCCCAAGAGCGATAGTGGCCGCAAAGGTGACGGGGCTTCTAAGAGCGCGTATGTGAGGTTTCTCGGCGAATATTAGGCGCGATAACCGAAGCGATCAGAGTGCGATTTGGGAGGACAGGGACGAGCATGAATTTATACTTCGGTGATCGCCCCGGCAAAGTTTGTCTTGTTTTGCTGCTGGCAGTTGGTATTCACTCCGTCACCCTCTCTCTTCCGTCGTCCTTCTTTTTTAGTTGTTGTTGTTTCCACCATCCGTGTAAGAGATGCCCTGGGGAGTTTGATAGCGTGATTGTGGCGCTTTTGCTTTGCTGGGTGTATGCTGTAGTCATCGTTTTTTGTTTAGCTTTTAATATATGTGGGGAGGGGGTGGCGTTTCCCCCCGCCGCAGCTGCAGCGTCCACGGGGCCCTGGGGAGGGCAAGAGAAGCAGGCAAAGGCATGAAATAAATGAGGGAAGGGGGCGAGGGAATTTGTCCTGCTTGCTGTGGGGCCTGCCCTGAGCTCCTTCTGCTTGGCCTGAGCGGGTAGCGGAGGAGCAAAGGCGTGTGGATTGTGTCACTCCTCTGCTGGGATGTTTGAGACGCGGCGCTCCGAAGCCCCACGTGTTGTTGTTGTTTTTGTTTGTCTGATTGTGATTCTTTTCCCTTTTTTGCCCCTCTTCACGGAGTTTGGGCGGCGCTCGTGTGTGTAGCTACGCATGCGCATGTGCTCTGACACAGTTGGGTGGGATCGCGGGCCTCCGTACGCGCTGGTGTGCTCTACGTCTTTCCGCGTGTCCGCCCACTCCCCTCCGATGTGTGTGTGTGTGTGTGTGTGTGTGTGTGTGTGTGTTGTTTTTTCCTTCTTTTCTCTGGGGGGGTGCGTGGCTGTTGCGCGCAGATATGGCAACTCCACCGTGTCGTGCGTTCATGGCGCAGGGATGCCGCTGTATTGTATGAGCTGCGCCTAACCTTCTATTTTTTTTTTCGTTTTGTTCCGTTCGTTTCTTTTCCCACCCACCCCCCACTTTTTATCCTTCGTCTCTCGCTGCGTGCGTTTTTGTTTTTATTGTTTGCGTGTGTGTGTTTTCTTTTTATTGTTCTTCCTCTTGCGTGGCGCCTTTGGCCGTGTGAGCTGCGCCAGAGACGTCCCCCGAGCTTGACGCTGTGCGTCGATCCTCGCCGCGCACGTGTGTGTGCTGCCGCGCCGCCTCTGCCCCTCCCACCTCCCCCGTATTTCTCCCTCCCTCCCTCCCTCCCTCTCTGTTTCTCTGGCTGACTGTTTATGTGTCGCTCGCTCTGCCGCCGCCGCCGCGGGGTTGCGCCGGCGGGGCGTGGGGAGTGCGG